AAAATGCATGCCAAGGCTTAAAGCAGCAACAACGCTACACATAAAAACTGATGATGGTGGAAAAATACACCGAAACGTATTTTAATTGATGAATAAAGACACTAAATGACTGAAACCCAGGAGTTAATTTTGATTTGGAATTGAAACACAGGCAGGAAAATATATACTTGTTTATATAGTAGTATATAACCCTTCACACTTTTGAGGAATACATTTGTGTTTAAGGATGTTGCAGTTGAAATACTATCCGGACGAAGGCGGCTATAATTTCCGCTACTATCCAGATATTCGATATTATTACGATGACAAGATCCAACGTGTGAATAGCGCCCTTTACGACTACCCTTATAGGTATAAGATGTTCAGTTGACTCATTTTTAACATACATTTGACTCATTTTCCACTTAGAACACGCATATGGTTCCCCTATAGAGGATACCGGGTGTTTTGCGACTATATGCCCTCAGGAGTGCCATTCGCCATACAAAGAGTGAGTGGAGATTGTCTCATTTTGCGACTGGACTGTTTTTTCGGTTTTCAGGTCAGCAAGCTGATGTACTTTAACTACTACGACACCAAGAAGCACCTGCATATCAACTAAGAATTGCCCAATTTCATCCTCTTTGTCTGCGGAACTTTGTACATATTTTTGATGAGGTGCCAAATAAATGAAATTTTCTGTTTTCCAACCTAGTTGTGTTTTTTTTTGGCGACAAATTTCCAATTTTTTGCTCTAATTAGTCTCAATTACCGCTGAAGTTTTGTCGCTTTAATCCTTCGGATGTAAACGAGCTTCTAATTAATTGGGCTGATCAAAAATTGCCGGCCAATTTAATTAACTGCCAACTCGAACTCCCCCATACCCAAGACGGACTGAAGAGTTTCACGACTCTGCACCGAGTTTTATTAAGAAATTTATCACTTCCATCCTCTCTGCAGTAATATTTGCATTGTTAAATCGCTATTGACTGCGCGACAAGAATCTTCAAAGCGAATTAAATTTCTTTTCTGCCGAGATAATTGTTTTAGGTGAGCTGAGGGGGAAATTGAATTAAAACTTTGGAAAACGAGCACTTTGTCCTAGAGGGGAAAATCTAGCTGCTTCATTTAGTAGGGATTTTAGCTCAGTTTGTGTAGCTGA